GGCAGCTTATACAGTGGTGCCTCGCATAACGAGCGCACCGTTTAACAACAAATCCGTATAGCGATGCAGATTTTGCGATCAAAAAAGCGATCACATTCCGATGTTTAGATAGGGTAAACATTGCATTGCGATGATCAGTAAGCGTTTTGCTTACCGATCTTTGCATTGCGATGTTTTGGAACAGCTGATCGGCGGTTCCAAAATGAACAGCTGATCGGTGGTTCCAAAATGGCCACTGGAAGAAGAAAATGGCCACCCACAGCATTTTCACGCTGATTCCTCGCTTACCGAGGCGGCGAAAATGGCAGCCGGATTGAGGATTTCCACTTAGCGATGAGTTTTGTCCCCATAGGAATGCATTAAACGGAGTTGAATGCGTTCCTGTGGGGTTTTTTGCCCCGTATAGCGACGTTTCCGGATAGCGACGATTTATCTGAAACGGATTATCATCGCTATGCAGATCACCACTATATTATTAAAAAGGTAGCATTTAAAAAAACACCAATTGTATAAATGGTCTATTAAAAATGATAAATAAAATCAATACTAAAAACACATTAAAGCCAACAAAGTACAATAATCCATTTAAAAAAAACCTTCACGGACAATTCAATCACTAAGGGAAAAGCTGCCTGAAGAGAACCGTCTTCGCCTGCTTGTGGAGGGACAGCCAAGATGGGGCCAGGCTGGCCTCTAGTGGGAGGGAGTTCCAGAATCTCTGGGAGCCGCCACAGAGAAGGCCCTCTCCTGTGCCCCAACCAAACACACCGGTGAGGGTGGTGGGGCCAAGAGAAAGGCCTCTCCTGATGGATACGGTCCTTGAGATTACTTATGGGAACAGCAGCCACCAAGAATCTTCTGCTTGATGTCAACGTTTGTCTACCAGGCTGCAACGTCCTTGCTCCTTCTCACCTCTATCACACTTGTGAGTGACACACCCTCAAGGTCACCTGAGTCATCTCTCCGGCACCTTCAACCTAAAAACCAGCCACCTCTTTCTCCTTAGGGGATATGAAGGTGGAAGGGTCGTCCAATCCACCTTCCGCCTTGCACCCAGCTCTCCCGTTCTCCATGCAATTCTCTCATTTGGGCCCCGTGTCTCAGCCCTGGAGCACTAGGTGGGCTCACCCCTCATGCATCATCCACAGGGACACACTGCACGAACCCGCTCTCACCATCCTACGCCCGTCCATCTCTAGCCAGACTGGGTGGAACGGCTGCACCGGCCACCTCGGTGGAAGGTGACTTGGTGGGACAGAGAGAGAAAAGAAGCCGCAGCTCCTTGAGGAGGAAAAGGGAAAGAGGAGGAGGCCGTTTCCTCACCTTCCTGGCGATCTTTCCCCCCCTACCTGTGCGGCTCGGGCAGGCGCTCTTCCCGCTCCCTCTGAAGGAAGAGGCCACTCAGAACTGGCCTCCAACGCCAGAGCACAGCCTGCAAAAATGAAGCAAAGGGGATGGGTGGGAAGACCTTCTTTATCCTTCATGTCATAAAAGCTTGTGGTTTTCAAAGGCATGTGCTCCCTCTGGCTGCGGAACGAATAAAAGGTAAAGTGGGGGGCAGGGGGATCGTTAAAGCCACGTGCTTTCCAATGAGAAGCTTGTGTGGCTTCACCCGTTTCGTTAGGTGTTCTCAAATATTTCTCACAGGCTTCCATCCAAGGATTTTGAAGCACTGCAGAGCATCAAGAATCACGGGCAGGCTATAAAAATGAGGCAACAAGACTTCTCTCCTATGAGACCACCATGGAGATCTCTTCAGACCAACAAACAGCAATCCAGGAACACAGCTTCTTAAGCTCTGAATCACTTGCGTCACCTGAGGATGAGGGGGTGACTTGATTTCATAAATAAACAGCCAGCCAGCCAACTAATATTTTTATTGATATAGCAAGTGAGATAGATAGACAGATAGATACACACACACACACACACACACACACAGATGGAAGAGTGTGAAAAAGGGGAGGGAGGGAGGGAGAGAGAGAGAGAAAGAAAGAAAGAAAAAGAGGTAGGTAGGTAGGTAGGCAGGCAGGCAGGCAGGCAGGTAGGTAGATAAGTAGGTAGGAAGGGAGGGAGGGAGGATGGAAAGAGAGAAGGAAGGAGAGAGAAAGAAAGAAGGAGGGAAGGAGGGAAAGAGAAGGAAGGAAGTCATATCACTTTGCTGTATCTAAAAAAAACCTCTGAAAAATAATATTAAAAGACTGGTAAAGTTAGAAACTGGATAAAACATGTAGCAACCCCCGCAGAAAGTTATATTTTCAGCTTTCCTGTCAGTTACCAAATCCTGAGCAAAGTGACAAATCTTGGCCTCCTAGTGAAAAATGTACCAGGGGGAGGGCTGACGTAACCTCATGTGGAAGGGAGTTCCACAGGCTGGAATCAGCCTCCAAAACATCTTCCCTCCCATGGCGCTAACCAAACCTGCCTTGCGAGGGTGGTGAAACTGAGACAACGGCTTCCTCACAGATATTAAAACCGGAGGAGGTTCATACAGTGACACATGCCCCCGCAGAAGTATTTTAATACTTCTCTCTCCTTAGCTACTGCAATAAAGAGAGAGACAGAATTCTCAGTATCTCTCTCTCTCTCTCTCTGATTTCCTTTCATTTCGGGGTTGCTAATCAAAACAGGGCCTTCTCGGCTGTTGCCCCCCCAACTTTGGAACACCCTCCCTATAGAGATCCTCCTGGCTCCAACACTTTTGGCTTTTCGGCGCCAGGCAAAGAGACCTTTCTGTTCGGCCAGCATTTTAATTAAACAGTATCCTTTCGCTGGCCATACGAGCAGCAGGATTTATTAATATCAATGTTTTAATGATTGTTTTTAAAATAGGATATTACTATAATACTGCGTATATATAATGGTTTTCATGTTTTTAAAGTTTGAATATTGTTGTACGCCGCTCAGAGGCCACTGGTAATGGCGCGGCTAAAAAAAAATCTTGTAAGTAAGTAAGTAAGTAAGTAATCCATCAACGGAGCCTGTAAAAGCCAAAGGGTTTGCCGCTATTGACTGATGGCGGTCCTAAAACCAGCCAATTTTTGGCATGACCAATTCCTGCCTATTTACCGTATTTTTCGCTCCATAAGACGCACCTTTCCATAAGACGCACCAGTTTTTTAGGAGAAGAAAACAGGAAAATATAATCTGTTTTCTTCGCTCCATAAGACACACAGACTTTCCACCCCCCTGTTTTGTGGGGGAAAAGTGCGACTTATGGTGCGAAAAATACCGTATGTATTTATGCATTGATTTATTTCTGCCTTTCTACCTCACCCGTCCACAGCATTTGGTGATCAGGTGAATAAAACCACCGCAAGCCAATGTAATGTCTACATACAGTTAAAACCATCACTTGGCATTGAACATAGTTTTGGGGAACCAGTTAAATCAACCAGCCAACCCAGATCCGTCAGTAAGAGTCATAAATTGCTCAGGGCTCCCGGAATGGATTGAGGGAGAGAGAGAGAGAGAGAAGGTGTTTGTACTCAGCTGACATTTGCCTTTTCAAGGCTTAGGCAGTACGGAACATGCCCCAGAGCTCTCAGTATTCAATAATAATATTCGATATTAGTTAATATTTTTATTTATTTATTTATTTAAAATACCCTGCCTTTCTCCTTAAAATGATCCAAGGCAGCTTGTAATGGTTAAAAGAGAATATTTAAAAGCTCAAAACATGGAATAGACAAATATTTAAGAAGGAGTAAACAAGTATTATATTAATAAGAGTCAATAAAAACATCATTTAAGAGCATCAGAGCAAAACAATCCGTTCACATTAAAAACAACCCTATTCATATTTTTTTTTAAAAAAACCCCAAACTGCTTGTCTTTCATGAACAAGACAAGCTCTCTTTGACAGAAAAGAGAGACAGTAACTTACCCAGGAAGGCTAAATTCCCATAATTTTCCAGCATGACATCGGTGTACAGATCTCTCTGAGTGACATCCAGCAGAACCCATTCTCCTCTGGTAAAATATATGGCCACCTCCTCAAAAACCACAGGACTCTGGAAAAGAAGAGGAAAAAAAACTTCAGTTCAAAAGAGATTCCCAAGGAGACTCTGGAAATTCACCTCAATTTTTTTTTTTTGCAGTGAAGGTAAAGGGAGAGACTCAACTCAGGAAGATGGACATAGCAATTTTCTGCAGAGCGCAGACTTTCAAATGAGAAAATCAATATTTGTCTTGTGGCGCAGGGGTTAGACTGCTGTCCTGCAGCCAAAACTGTGTTCGCCACCCAGGATTCAATCCCAGGTAGCCGGCTCAAGGTTCACTCAGCCTTCTATCCTTCCGAGGCTGGTTCACAGACTGGAATAAACCAAAAGATTTCTTATGATCCTCATAACAAAATGAGAAATCTACCAAAAAAATACCCCTTTCCCCTCTTCCAGATAATATAGTCCATACCTGAGGTGGCTGCATTGGGTTTGTTTCCGACCCACCACGTTGAAAGGTTCAATGGCTCATTCAGGTGGCTGTGAAGGAGAACCATGAACTTTACTTTACATTTACTTTTCCATTTTCTTCTGCGAAGACACAGCCAAAGCCGAGGGTTACAAAGAGGAAAACCTAGATCGGATCCCTGGTTCAGCACAAAACTTTTTTGGAGAGCCGGAGTCCATCTCTACCCCCTGTGAAAATATAATGGAAAGCAACATGCTGAACTCTCTAGGGGAAAAGAGTGAGCAAATGTTTCTAGATACAAATGAAAATCCTTATTGAAGAGAGGTGATAAGCAGAGCAATCTGGGACTGGAATCAGGTCTGTACCCAGCCTTTAAGCTCAGCTGTTTCGAACGATCCACTAATTTTGTGGAAAGGGCCCCAAAACAACAACATACAACTTAGCTGAACCCACAAATATACATTGCAAGATAAATTCTAAAATCCACATTGCATGTCATGGTGATAATGTTAGCCCAATTTTTAAATTGTTATTATTATTTTAACTCCTAAAACCACCCATCTGGACAATGGTCACTCTGGGTAAGGTACGACTGTGTGACAATTCAATTAGCAACAAATTGAGAGTTAATTCAAAAAAGAACACCAAACATTTGAAGCCAGATGTAGTCACTCGTCTTGCAAAAGAGGGTCAGGCCAAGTTGCATTTCAGCCCCTCGTCTATCGAATCTCTACACAGAACACATCATACGGAAAGCCAAACTAGATTCAGAGGAAGGAGGAGCGGAAATGGGTGGAAAAAACATCAGTAATCTAAGACACACAGATGACACCATCTTTACTGGGGAAAACAGCAAGGACTTGATTTCTGATGAAAGCTGAATGTTAAGAAGGCAATAGATAGACATGCTAACGAAGAATTACCTAGGAGCCTCGTGGCGCAGTGGTTAAAACGCTGGACTGCAGCTAAAAACTGTGCTCACGACCTGGGGTTCAAATCCCAGGTAGCCGGCTCAAGGTTGACTCAGCCTTCCATCCTTCCGAGGTCGGTAAAATGAGTACCCAGCTTGCTGGGGGGGCAATGTGTAGCCTGTATAATTAAAAATTGTAAACCGCCCGGAGAGTGCTTGTAGCGCTATGGGGCGGTATATAAGTCCAATAAATAAATATAAATAAATATTCATTATTCATGAAGAAGAAAAAATGTCTATACCTTGATTCAGTCATGAACTTTTGGGTTAAAGAAGAATACATATATTTTAGGGGTGGGGTAATAAATATATTTAAATATATAATAATAAACAAACCCATGTGGAGACCGTAGCCAAGAAATTGGAAAAAGACTGACATCTGTTTTTTAAAAATCCATTTAAACTTATTTTTTAAATACTCAGGAGGAACTCTTTCTAGAAGAGAAAATACTTAAACTGAAACTATTATATTTTGAACCCATCATGAGAAAATATGATTTGTTGGGAAAGACAATAATGTGGGTCAAAACTAAAGCCAGTGGGAAAAGAGGAAGACTGAAAGAACCCACTTGATTGCACATCCCGGCCAGATCCTGCTGCATGCTAGCATCTTGCTACCTCAGAGAAAAGTAATCTGAAAACCCACATCTTCTGTTTTTCCTTCCTTTTCCTCAAAAGTGGGATAGAACGGGGACGTGGAGACCTTCAGATCTGCTCTATTTTTCTCCTCTTTTTGTCCATTTCCCTCATTCCTCTTCCCCCCCAACCGCCAAAACCTCGTACATCATTTTGGGGCCTTCTCATTTTTCTTAACTTGGCCTAAAGCTGACGATACAGAACGCTTGGATTTTTGGAAATTGGTTCGCCTGGTTTCTTACCAATTGGTTGGCCTAAAGCTAACGATACAGAATGCTTGGATTTTTGGAAATTGGTTCGCCCGGCTTCTTACCAATTGCGGTAAGTGACCACATCACTTCCTTCTGTCTCTTTCCGTGTCATGAAAATGGCCATTTTAAATAACATAAATTTTTTGGTCCTGCTTCAAATTAAATTTGTCTGGAGACACACTATATATATATATATATAAATTAAGGAGACACAGATCTCATTCCGAAAACATTGTTCTCCTCTATGTGAGGCAATTAAAAAATACATCTGTTCCAGTCAGATCTAGTTCTAAGAAGAAGAAAAACGCTCACCAAGGTGTTCACTTCCTAAGAATACATTGATTTCTAAGTCCCTTATGTTTGAGGGTTGCTGTAGGTTTTTCGGGTTGTCTGGCCGTGTTCTTGAGGTTTTTCCCTTGAGAGCCTGAAAAACCCACAACAACCATTTCCCCCTTGTGTTTCTCTCTCCCCCCCCTCCCCA